ACACTCACTCTCTCTCTCTCTCTCTCTCTCACACACACACACACACACCATCCAACAGACCAACACCTGAATGTTAACAGAATGAAAGCAGCGCTACCTACTGGGCAAATCATCCTCATGCCTTCTCAACGACTGAAGCTGAAATATTAGTTATTAGTAAAATTAAATATCTACAGGTCGTTTAAAAATCAGAAGGATTTGTTTAACATGGTATAATATATTTTTCGTCCCCCTTAAATATGTAAGCACTTCAGCCTAAATGTATACAGCATTACTTAAATATAATTTTTATTTTATAATATTAATTAACAATAATAAATAAAAAATGTGACATCCATCCAGTATTTGTCTTGAACTACTAATATTCTGTTTCCAGTAGTTTTTTAATATTAATATTTATCAATATTATTAATTCATTGATAACATGAATGATCAATTCAAGCTGCTTAAATGACTAAATCTTTAACAGAAATATAGTCATAGTTATTATAATCGTCAGCTGGGGTTTTGGTGATTTTAGTGGACGTCATTTTTCTGAAATATTCTGATTCTAAAGTGAGTTTGAGCATCTTTCCTCTAAACGGCGGCAGCAGTGTTATTTTGCACATGCAGTGGTGTTTGAGAGCTCAGATGTGAACGAATGCTGTGTGATGATGATGATGATGATGATGTGTAACTCTTCATTTCAAAGGGTGTTTGGCTCAGAACCAGGTGTGTAGCTCATGTCTACAGCAGACCGACTTTATGAGTCTAATCAGTGATTATGAACTGTGATGTGCAAATGTGACAGTGCTGGATCTGAGTCAGAGACGCAAGCTTGGCGTCTCATCGTGTGCTGTATGTATGGCACATGCTGCTGGTTTATTTGTGTTCACCATCTAGTCAAAGATGGCTAAATGTATGTCTCTTGTGAACTTAAAAAGCTTTTGGTCTCGTGTTTTTCCCCCACTTGTGTTGTTCCTGCTCAAAAACGACCAGTCTACAAAATTGCTTATTAGTGTCTCGTCATGCTATATACTATCACAAAATATCAGATTCAATCTTTTTGTAAACCTGTAAGCAAAGGTTTCGTGTTTTTTTCTTTTATGGGGCTGATTAATCTGTTTTTGAGTGAATAAAAGCATTATTTGTGGATAATTTTGTCAATATTCACTCAAAAACTGAAGTTCAGATCAAACAATCAGTTCCAAAAAGAAATACAAAACCTGTGTTAAATAAAAAGGAAATGAGTTGACAAAAATATAGTAGATAATATAGTATAATCAGAGATTTACAAGCAGTTTTTTACTACAAAAGTCACATATCTGTGTCCCTGCAGCACAAAAGCAGTGTTAAGTCGCTGGGGGATATTTGTAGCAATAGCCAACAATACATTGTATGGGTCACAATTATACATTTCTCTTTTATGCCAAAAATCATTAGGATATTAAGTAAAGATCATGTTCCATGAAGATATTTTGTACATTTCCTACCATAAACTTAATGTTTGATTAGTAATATGCATTGCTAAGAACTTCATTTGAACAACTTTGAAGATGATTTTCTCAATATTTAGATTTTTTTGCACCCTCAGATTCCAGATTTTCAAATAGTTGTATCTCAGCCAAATATTGTTCTATCCTAACAAACCATACATCAATGGAAAGATTATTATTCATCTTTCAGATGATGCATAAGTCGTGGCCTAATGGTTAGAGAGTCGGACTCGTAACCCAAAGGTTGTGGGTTCGAGCCTCGTACCGGCC